TCTATCGTATTCAGCGCTCAGCTAGTGGGACCAACTACCGGACATAAAATCGACGCCTCCGCTCTTCAAGACAGTGGAGCTGAAGGAATCCTTCTGAATTATCGTTTCGCCCGCCGTCACAACCTTCCCCGTACCCGCCTTCAACGTCCCATTCCTGTCCGCAACGTTGATGGATCTGACAATGGTATGGGGCCTATCTGCTACACCGTCACCCAGTTACTGCGTCTGCCATCACAGGACGGAGCGTCTTACCACGAGGAACTTATTGAGTTCTTTGTTGCGGACATTGGTGACCACGACCTCATCCTCGGCACGGACTGGCTCCGCACTCACAACCCGGAAGTCGACTGGTCCAAGTCGCGCGTGGATATGACCCGCTGCCCCCCGGATTGCACACTCGTTAACCCACCTGTCACCCACCTCCGCACACTCCGCCCACCATCGTTAGGACAGCCCGTATCAATTGAAGAAGTTGACGACGACGAGGATATCCATCTTCGTGCATGGCAGCGGGCTTCAGCACTACCCGCCGACTCTCCCCTTCTCATCGACACCAACAATGACACACCTGAGCTCCTTTCCGTTCTAGTGGCACGTGGAAACCCGGTCACGATGGAAAATGTCCTGGACACCGAAGACATACGCCTCCGCCTGCACCTGCGAGCTCGTTCTCTGGACACAACTCTGGATGAGCTGCCAACAGTTGAGGAGGTATCTGCTGTGCCGTCTAAGCCTGCAGTGTCCTTCCAACTGGAGCAGAACTATGAAGATGAGTCAGAGGACGTCGCTTCTATCCCCGTATCAGTTGATTGGGTACTCAGAGGCCTCCAGCTCGCACGGATAGTCCCCGACATCGAGCACTGCACGTTTGAGCCTGGTGATACCATCCTGTTCACAACCGACTACACCAAGGACCCCTATGACGACGATGATCCAACCGTGTACATCCGCACGGGTTTCACACGATCGCAAGAGTTGGCGGAGGAGCATGCTGCCCAGGCCCCAGCTAAGTCCTTTGAAGAGCTTGTCCCAGAACAGTACCAACCATGGATTAAGGTGTTTGACAAGAAAGTCTCGGAACGCCTACCGGAACACAGCAAACACGACCATGCTATTGACCTCAAGCCGGAGTTTGAGAAGCGTTTAGAGACCCATCCCATCAACGCCAAGCT